TTTATAATAATATAAAAAATAGTATTATTAAACTTTAGCATTTATATAAACATACTTTATTAACATAAATACAATACTTTTGATTTAAATCAATACAAAAAAATTATAAATTAATAAAACTATTTTTTAATCAACTTATAAAAATATTATTTTTTAATCAGCCAGCTTTTTCTTTAATAAAATTGTACTCATTCAAATTTTTAATATATATTCACGATGTTCTCTATTTTTATAATCCAATTGAATGACTGTTTCTTCATTTTCTTAATGATGCCACTATGAATTTATGCGCTCGTTTTTTACAATAATCTGATTCAAATAATTTTCTAAAATTAGAAAGTGATTTGAAGTCGGGCTGTGTCATTTATAAGGAAAATCTAAAAAGATTCGATAATTGATTCAAATTTCCACGACAACTAATCATTTGACTCCGGTTTTCATTCTCGTGGTGTGAACTTGATGGTTCAAGCCAATCATTCTTGTGATTGACAATATCGCCATATCGCCTCTGTATTTCCTTTGATGTTGATAAGTGTCTCATTTACTAAACCAAGATCTACCTAAGGTTGTTGTATTTATCACTTTTAACGAAACCTTCAGCCCGCCTATTCTTTAAGGCTTCACTTATACCTTGAAGGTAAGGTATGATTTTCGGGGCTAGTCCATTTGGTTGGTGAATTGTTACACATTGATTTTTATTTTAAATCGATATCATATTACTAGTTGTAATTCTAATAATCGAATATTTGGCTAAATTGGTGCATCTGACCTAATGCTGTATGTCTTTCTCTATTACTATACTTTGTTTGGCGAAGAGATAAAATCTTCGTCGAATCTATCAAATCATAACTGTTTCCACGTATGATATACCACGATTAACTTTCTCCGTTTGTAGTAGTACTTCAAAAGTTTCATCAGACGCCGCTATCCATAGAGATGTTATGAGAGGTGGTGATAGAGTTTAGAACCTTACAAAAATTCCTAACCGTTTAAAATTGTAACTCAGGGAGTTAAATTAAGTATAATAACCGGCTAAAGAAAATTAACCGGTAAAAATTCCAACCTCTTAAATTTCGAATGCTGATAGTGGAATAATTCTTGTTGATTAAATATCAAATCAAAGAATAATTATTCGCTCGTTACATCGAAGATTTCATAATCCTTTGCAATTTCATTTTCATAGATGATATAAAGAAATATTCTATACATTTTAATCGCTAATTTCATAGCAAACAATGTCAGATTATGGATAATTATGGATATTTTTGGACAGGTTTTGGACACCTTTTCCTAAGTTCAAAACCTTGTCCAAAATATATAAAATTAAAAATGTCATTGGGTTTTCGAGTTTAAATCAAATTTCCACCCGTTTGTTGTAAAGAATTCATCTCTTTTTCTTGGATCCATCCTTGAGACATATTCAAGTTCATTATAAAGGTCTCTTACAGTAGCTTCCTTCCAGGTTTTACATCCTCCCCTGCTTTCTTGATTTCTTTCTTGATGTTGTCGTTTCCACTCCAATATCTTTTCATTGTTTTTGATGATAGTCTGGTCTGATGTGTACCATTCTACTTCCTCATCTTCCACATCCTCCCAACAATCATCTTCTGGAAGGGGAATCGCTGTTTGAAACTGAGAGACTTTCTTTCCTTTCATGACTGCGCGTTGACGCCTTTTCCACGCAGATCCTTTTTTTCTTTTTGATGTTGATTTCTGAGGTTGCTGTTGTTCATCCTCCCAAATTTCATTTTCTGAAGAGGGAATCTCTGCTTGAGGTTGAAGTATATCCTTTTCTTTTGGGATTGCTACTGGTGCTGTACGTTGACATCTTTTTCCCGTCGATTCATTTCCGTCTCCTTTTGATGCTGATTCCTGGGGTTGTTGCTGTTCGTCCTCATAACTACCAGATTCTAATGGGAGAATTACTGCGTAAGGTTGAGAGATTCCCTTTTCTTTTAAGGCTGCTGCTGGTGCTACACGTTGACAACTTTTCTGAGTCGATCCGATTCCGTCTTCTTTTAATGCTGATTCCTGAGTTTGTTGTTGTTGATTTTTGACTATAGGTCTTGTAAACTGAGGAGTGGTCGGAGGTTCTAACTTTAAATCTTTTCCTTTGCTTGTTATTGTTAAATGACTCTGTTCATTTTGTTTTTCCAAAACTTTTGTCGTCTTCACCGGTCGGGAGATGTTGGTGAGATTTACAAATATTATCCACAATTTTGGGACTGCGGATAGAAAGATATACCATCCTAGAAGTAGTATCGCCCATTCTAGGTATTTCGTGTTCAACCGTCTTGGTTGAAAATTGCTAATATCATTATACCAATAAGTTTCGT